AAAAAGTTACCAATATTTTAAGAATTATTTTCTAAACTAGCTTGAACAGCTTGAAGATCTTGACAACTATTCCTCATATGACCTTTCTGTCCACAAACTCAACATTGAAAATCTTGAGAAGAATTCCCATTATCGATTTTCCTGGAATTCTTTTTAGAAAAATTAGAATTATTACTATTATTCCGGAAATTTCACAAATAATAATAATTATTATTAAACTGTTTATTGAAGTTTTAATTTTTATTATCTTTATGATCATCATTTTTATTAATATGATCATCTTCAACAGCTTTGGTTCCGAAACATAATTTATCAATCGACTTCAATTCAACAGCCCGTTGAGTCGCCGATCGAAGAAATTTTATCGTTTTTGACCGTAAAGAGTATTGTAATTTTAGATTATTTACGCATATTCAACTTGTTGAGAATTAATTAATTCTCAGTTTAAATTTGCCAGCTGACAGGAACTTCGGCGGCCATCTTGGGACTGGGTCGATAACCAATCGACCAAACAATCAATAATTCTTAATTTGGTCAATCATTTGACTAATTTTCAGTGTCCCCTTTGACTAATGAAGTTCCTGTCGCCAATCTTCCACTGTTCTCGTTCACGTGTACACGCCATTCTTATTCATTCTTAACAAATCTTACAAGTTTGAGTCAATCATCAGTACTAGTAATTGTAAATTATCAGAGCCATTCAAGCTTCATTCTAAAACTAGAATCAAGTAATATTTCAAGACTTTTCATTGTAATTTAAGACATTACATCAAGATTCATTTTGCATTGCATTGATAGGCTAACGCCACGTGCACAATCACATTCTTGCTCATCTTGAGAAGTGTGCTGAGCTCGTGTGGGAGGTCAATAATACCGAACACACCAAGTTGAGTATTTTTTGGACATTCAATTCAGATTCAATAATTAAAAATAGACATTCAGTGATTTTGATCGACATTCAGTCTTCCTATTTTATAACACAAAGTTTGTCAGTATATTTAGTGTACCTGTTAGTGCTTAAAATAAAGATACTTTATTTTTTATAGAATCTGACTTCCGTTTGCTCTGTTCCGGCACAATCATCCCTATCCTTAAACGGTTAGGTTAATTCACAAGTTGAGATTTTCTCAACACAACTTATTTATCCAAATCGTTGGAAAAATCGATTCAACTTTCATTTTCATTCTGTTTCCTAGCTTGGAAACGACTGAAATAAGCTCTAGAAAATTGAGCTGAACGAAACGATTTTTTAAAGATTTCGATAACAGACTTAAATTTCTCAAATCATCGATGCTCAAGTTTTCTAAAATTTCTTAAAGTTCGTCCTTCAAACAGGACACTAAAATTAGAAGCTTCAAGTTCATTCGACTAATTATGCAATCGAGCGATGGTCTCAAATTGACGTGAATAAGATTCCAACGTCTGAGAACGATCATATTTTACCGGTTACGCGAAAGATAACGAATTCCCGGCGGACGATGATGAGACCAATTCAATTAGATTGAGATTCAAATTGAAAGAATTATTAGGATTAACAATTCATGAAGAATTATTTGGATGAATGAATTTGTTTCAATATTTATCGAATTGTTATTATTAATATTATTCATCTTGCGATTCGTCAAAGGTGTCTGGCCAGAGATCCCAGGGCTTCGACCCACCTGGAGCCTGACCAGACGGGATTATCCTGCAGACCCCGACTCCCTCAGGTTTGAGGGTGAGCCGAGGCTGCAGCCGTTCAGTCAAAGTTATTACAATCGTCTCAGGATTCGGAGAGACGCGAGGATGACCGCTTTCTGCATACGAGCCGCGAGAATCTCAGCCTGACTACGGCAGACTGGTGTTGTTCGAAGCTCTGTCAGAAAGCAGTCCCTCATTCTTCCGAGGACGCTAATCACCAAGACTATCACGTGCTCATGACCTCCATGAGTTCTCTGTAGCGTTCCTGTTTACTTTCCTATTTCGCACGTATATTCGTTTCAGCCGGGGATGAGAACTCAATGTACTATACGTGCTTGGTGGTATGGTCGAAGAGAGTATTTGGAATTCTTTGAAATTTTCGCTCTCTCGTTTTTAACGACTGACTCAATTCCACCGGAAACATCGGGCAGCACTGGTGTCTCGTCTTTCCTATAAGAGTGCCGAAGGTAGTAGTACAGCACTCTTAGGGCAACGTTATGCTTGTGAATATAGGCTGAGCGCACTCATATCAAACAAGCTGATAACAGATGATGTAGCGTCTCATCTATATCACCGTGGCAAACTCGGCATCTTGTGTCCTCAAGTTGCTCGTGCATAACCTCACGCCGATAGGCGAGGGTAGAAAATACACCCAAAGAACAAGCAAGCTGACTGAAGATATTGAAAAGTCAGGTGGTGTGACAAGTCCTGTGTTTTCTTTTTTATTATCCATCTCTTTCCCCTCGTTAAACCAGCGCTCTTTCGCGGCTCATATTTACAGTGCCGAGTAACACTCTACTCTATACTGAAAAGTTCGGGTGTGACGTCACGACGCAATGTTCAAATGTAAATATCTCGATAACTATTTAACATTACGGGGAAATTTTCAATATGCAATTAAAAATAACTATAAGCTTTCATTAAAATCCAAAATAGGATTTTTTCATTGAGTATTCATCGAGATACAAAATAGGCCACGCCCCAAGTTTCGTTTTCCGTACATTCCAACTTGATTTCTAGCCTCTTCTTTGTCTGTCTTGCCTCAATGCCATCTTATGCGGACCTCTTTTTCATGGCCATAATTTTTCTCCGATATATATCTATATAGATTATCTTAAAATACATATAATGTGAAACGGAAGTTTATTTAATTTTTGGATTTAAACACTAATGTTTATTTATAACGAACTGAAAAAGAAGGAATATGACAACTGAATTTGTTATAAATCATCGACAACGGAATCTGCGCAATCAGTTCGAATGCTTTCAACCTGATTTTTTTTCTTTTACTAAAAACAAGTTACTAACTATGTTACGTGGATGGAAATTGACTCAATCAAATGAAATTAATTCGAATTTTTTTTACCGGGATTAACATAATTGTAATCGCTTCAGAAGAGCATCTATTAAATCTTACATTGAAATCCGAATTTTTACTGTTTCCATTCATATACACAAATTTATTACTTTTTCTTCCATGTTATCACAAAGTATTACGTATCTAGAATGGGGATACCTGAACGTCGACATTTTTTTCTAAAACTTCACTCAATCAATTGATTCTCATGTAACGCAATCATGTCATATCGATTATTTACAGTAAATAAGAGATTCTGTTAATCGGCTGAGAAAATAAATGATTTCTTATTTAGGTTTATCACTTCTTTCAATCTATCACTGTTATACCAGTCGAACAGCATTTACGCGGACAAATAGATAGAAAAAAACAAATACATCCTATATCTTTTGTCAGATTTAATCTTTTTAGCCTGGTGCACTGCAAATCCCAAGATTCCAAGAACGTGTTAAAATAACACACATGAAGCGTATTCAATGTAAAATGTCCGTAAACAAATTATACGTGATTTATAGACACTTTTTATGCATTTCATAGTGTGTGGAAAATCTATAGTTCGTTTACGGCATTTAACATTGAAGAGGCTCAGCGTGTTAAATGTGTCTACAAAAATAACAAACTCGGATTTGCTATGTGGTAAGATTGGTATCACTTTGACTTCGTTCAACTTATCTCCAAATAACTTTCCTTGTTATAATCATTGCGATGGATAAAAAATGAATTTAAACAAACGTCTACATTTAAAAATAATAGAATTTGTTATAAGTAACCAAACTGGAGATCATCACAAAATTTGAGTTGTTTTGCCGTAGAAACGGGCTTCAATAAAACGAAAGTTAACGACGAAAAAAAATAAATTTTAAAAAAACATTCGTTGTCTATCGATTTTTCGTGTAAAGTTGAGTTTCCACGGCATTTCCGCGATATCGTAGGTTTTTAATGTTTTTTTTAAATCTCAAAAAAAAAATTTTCGGTGCGAGATAAGGGTTCAACCTACCAAAAAAAAGAGTTTTATTATGTTTGAAATCACAAAATTGCACCAAGTTTGACTTGCCATAATCACAAAACTATAAAATTGTTTAATAAAAATATCACATAAGTGTGCCTGTTCTGACTTGGAGGGCCCCAAGTCAGCAAGTCTCAGAATATTCGAAAATTGTTAATGCCGGACTTGTCCACCGGCGCGTTAGTCAACTCACTGGACTAATCATCGGGAAGTATTTCTCTCATGGCCCAGAAAGCAACTCTACGGCCCTAGTGACGCCAACAAGCACGCGGTCGAGCACTTGTGGCGTCAGTTAGCTCCAGGCAAATCACGCGGTCATCTCTGTACAACCTTTCGCAGTCAAATCGCAGATTTTTTCAGTCAGCTCACCCTTTGTAGTTAGAAATACGGTCAAACAGACTCAGACAACTCTCGTGAACATAATTGAAGCTTCATAATCAATCTCATCCTAACTGGTAGGCTCTTTTTAATTGACATTTTGTTAACACACTTGTAACGATATTTTATTGCTATTAACATTGTTCGATCATCAATAACATTTTAAATTAATCATCTACTAAGTAATCTAATATTTTTCAAAGTTTGATTATCAATTTCTATCAATTAGCAATTTCATTCATTTAATTTCCGATTATTTTTTAATATAATATGTTCGATTCCCGGAATTTCATTATTCCATACTCTTAATTTTTTAATTGATAATAAGGTGATAATTTGAAAATCAAAAGTTAAAATTTTCCGTGGTGCTTGACACTATTTTACATACATTTCCAAGCATACTACTTTATGTATCGAAATAATAAAATTTTGATAGTTTCTCTGTTTCCGGCATCAAGATAATCTAATCTAATTTAATTTTTTTATCACCGTAAAATAAGAGTGTAAAATTTGCTATCTTTTCTACAGTATTTTATAATTATCCTTCATACAATGATAAACTAAACTCAGATAACATACCTATGTACAGTAATCCATCAAGATCCAGATTTTCATTATCTCCATGGATAGTTTTCAATGTTGTGTGATCATCTATTGCGAGCGTATGTTTTTTTGGAGAAGGCCGTTCAATACTGACAGCATGCCATTTACCATCATTCAATCGAGATTTTAAGTTATCTTTCATTCGAATTGGTCCATCACCCAGATCAAAGGTATAGTGAATATGACCATCGATGAGTTCAACAGCAATGTAATCTTTTTCTTTGCCACCATTAAAAAGAATCAATCCGTTAGACTCCCATGTTTTAAACTATAATCAAAATATCAAAAAAATAAATATAACGTTTGCTGCCTGAAAAAAACAAAAATTCTTATAATAACAGAAATTAACAAAATTCAAATTTATCAAAATTTGAGATACATCGCAACACAGTTTGTAACTATCTCTATTGAAGAGGAAAAATTACGCGATGGAAGATCTTGAATACAATATAAACGAATTTCATTCGAATAGAATATTAGAAGTAAATTTTAGGTTTTCCAATTTGAATTAATGACTCATTTTACTCAACCTACCTTTATAACTATTTTAATGAGAATAAAAATATATGAGCAAATTTATTTTTACCTAAGTAATACTGTCATTCGATTCTTAAAAAATATGTCTCTTCATTTACCTCATTTACTATTATTTTTTTCTGTTTCGCTGATTCGTGAATTTGTTTGTTATAACTCAGTCATACATTCTCTACTGTTCAGTATTAGAGAATGAGTTGAGCTGTTAATTAACATTTCATACGATGGATCGAACAATATCTAATTTTGAAGTTGACATTTTTTGAACCTTAAGAAAAAAAAAAGAAATATCACGACCCCAGATCTCGTTGCTGCCCTTGATGGAACCAAAACTACTAGTAAAAACGCCGCATATGACTGCTACTGCTATTAGTCTCAGTGTTGATGTTAACACCATTAATCTCAGCCCAAGTACAATTCATTAGAGTCGTATAAAATTCTGAGAGTTGATGGCAACACAATTGAACAGGAATTTGGCAGTGGCAAAATGTTTCGTCGTACATTGGGATGAAAAATTACTGTCCTATATCGCTGTTCTTAATAGAGTTAAGAGATTACCCGTTGTCTTGTCTGGTTTAAAAACTGATAAACTGAACTACTTTGTCCTTACTTTAATGAGGGTTGTTATTTGTTCTAAAGAAACGATTTCGATGGTAATAATAGAGTCTCTAAATTTCAAAGCATAATTTCCAGTTACTTGGCGTAACTTTTATTAATTGGCTTGAATATTTTCAATGTTTTCAAAATTTCATGCTTCTGTAAAATCTTGACCGTGCGCCAAGTTTTTCGTTGTGATGTTTATTGTGTCATTAAACATACTAAATAAAAAAAAAAAAAACCGAAAATAAATATTTTCAATATTGTTGATTCTTAGATTTAAATAATTGGCGTGTAATAATTTCAGGAGATTTTGTAATTTCAACGCTGTCGTTATTTATGCTTGGCGCACATTTTTGTACTGCCTCGAAAAAGGGGGTTGCTTTTCATGAGATTTTTTAATTTTTTTCAGATACAATTACTTTTAAGAAATTTGTGATAAAATTTTCGTTCGTGGTACATAATTTTGAATGCCTTTAAATGCCACCGAAAGTTACTAATATTTCGAACGTAGTACGTGAGGTGGATGGAGTTTGAAACTTGTATGAAGAATGATTATTTGACTAGTTTTTTAACGCCTGCTCTTTCTTCCTGATGTCATAACTCTCGAACTCCTTTTGCTTTTAATGCTTTAGTAGAATGTGATCCTAAAAGTTCGGCCTTTTCTTTCGTTAGATTCAGATCCCTGGATAGATCATCGTTCTTGGCTCAATAAGATTGGAGTATTACTAGTAGAAGGCTCATGAAACTCTGGATCAGAGGACAAATCTTCCGCGCTGTCTGGTGATGTCTCAGTGTCTAGTGATGAATGCGCTGGCAAATCCTCAGAACGGAACACAAGTTTGTCAACTGAACTCACGTAAGGATACTTCAGAGCATGTTTTTTTTTCCTGTTTTACCCTTTAAGATTAGTGAGACAAAAATAGCAGTCAGTAATGTGATCTCTTGGTTCACGCCAAATGGCCGGTTTCGTAAAGGGCAGCATCTTAATTTTTTTATCGGTTAGGTTTCTGTAGCAATTTGTACAGCAGACATGTGGCACCCACGATTTATCTAGATTGGCAACTCTAATTTTGAAATAATTAAAATAACACTCTTTTATATACGTAGTAATAGACTTCTTCTCGCTATCTGTTATGAACTTTCCACACGCGTAACAAAACGATCGGGAGAATTGATGCAACTCCGTGACATTTTTGTAGCTTACTGTCCGGCGTTTCGAACACGATTGAACTTGTTTCAATATTTTATTTATTCTTTGTAGTATCGTAAAGAAAAAAAGTGTAGAGGTGGAAAATTCACGCGAGTCATTCATTTCTACAACGGTAACTAAACAAACCTAAGTATTATTATTTTTGTGGTAGACTCGAGGATACATAATGAAACCAATATGAATCACTTAGGTGGGAGAATCGATGTTAAATAGTGTTATTAAAAAATTGGGCTTACAGTTATGCATACTATTCAGACAAAAATAATAGGATACCATGGTCATCTAGTGCCTCACTTTGGTCAATGAATGAAGAAAAGGATTCCGGTAGAATGCCTCCAACCGTGTATATTATATAGTAACTCCTCGAGAACGCTCCAGGACAGACATTGTGAATGAATAATCAAATGATCAATAAGAGCCAATGTTGACAGATTAGAGGTTACAAAAACCCTGAATTAAACAGAAAGTAGAAATCCATAAAAAGTCAGAATAACTAATCATCTTCATAAAAGGATAGTCTATTCACCTAAGCAACTTTGAAATGACCATTTGGAATTTTATGAATTGAAATTACAACATCATTATGTTTGTTTTAATGATATATGGACCTTTCCACTTACGTTGAAGTTTCGGACATCTTCCTTTAACTTTTTGAGGGAAAAATAAACAAACGTTTCGACCGGCATCAAAAAAAAGAACATTGGATTTCAAATCATACATACACTTAAGTTTTTCTGATTTAATTTGCAACTTATCACGCACATTATCGTGAACAATCTTCAATTATCGAAGATTAAAAACAACATCAGTAAAAGGATTATGTGAAGGATTAATTCCTCAAAGAAAATTATTTCAATCTTTTCGATTCTTAATAATACATTTGGACAGATATTGAAGGAAAGTCCTATGCAACCTTTCAACTAAACCATTAGATTAAGGATAAAGAGGCGTGGTCCTCGTATCTTTAATACCAAAAAGACTCATCACTTCCTTGAAGATTTCAGATTCAAATTCTCTACCTTGATAAGAATGAACTTCAATAGGAACACCATATCTGCAAAATTTTCAAGTTACTAGAGCCTCAGCAATAGTAGAAACCTGATGATTAGGCAGAGGAATCGCCTCAGGCCATCTAGTAGAATAATCTGTAACAACAAGTTAAAATTCATTTCCAGAAAAGGTTTCAGTTAGAGGACCAAGAATATTAATGGCAACCCTTTCAAAAGGAGAACCGACATTATAAATTTGAAGTTGACCATGAGACTTTTTATGGGGACTCTTTTTAGCGAAACAACCTTGGCATTTTTTATACCAAATCTTAACATCTTGTTTGAGAGTTGCCGAGAAAAATCGTTGACGAATTTTCGTAATTGTTTTATTGATTCAAAAAATTACCACCAGAAGGAGAATTATGAGCCTCAAGAATTATTTCATTCACTTTAGCTGGAGTAATGACAACTTGAAAAATGAAATGAAAAAGATTTGGAGCTTCCCAAAGTTTAACTAAAACGCCATTTTTCAATTCTCGAGAATTCCAATACAGTAAATAAATTCTAAAAGTGGAATCAAAATGTGAAACGTCATTAAACTCGAGAATTTTTTTTTCCTGTTTGAATGTAATTAACAAATTCAAAATAGTATCGTCGTTTCGAAATTTAATTCAATCAGAATCATTGTCAATTTCACAAATGACACAAACATATGCTAACTATCACATTTCTCATTAGAATCTGTTTCAATACATTTTTTACAATCACACGGACGCCGAGATAGGCCATCAGCATTATCATGTTTAGGACCAGGTCTATGCTGAACTTCGAAATCATATTGGAATAAGATTTTAAACCAACGGGCTACTTGATCTTAAGGATTTTTGAAAGAAAGTAACCAAGTGAAAGAAGCATGATCAGTTCTATTAGTGGATATAAAGGTTTAGCAATAGTAGCAAAATGTTTGACGAATTTCCTATAACAAGAAAAAAGACCTAGGAAACTTCTACGTTCAGATTTATTTTAAGGAACAGGCCAATTGAAAATGGCAGAAATTTTATCTAAATAACTTTTCAGTCCTTTTCCAGATACTACATGTTCAAGGAACTTTTTTTGGGAAAAATATACATTCCTTAGGATTTATTACTAGCGGAGCATGAAACAATCTTTAAAAAACATTTTGAAGATGAATAAAATGTTCATTTAGGCTTTTACTGAAGATAATTATATCATCCAAATAAAATGAACAAATTTTGCCAAGACGACCTTTCAAAACTATGTTCATAAGATTAACGAAGGTTGCAGGAGCATTACACAAGCCAAAAAGAAGAACCGTTAATTGCCAAACCTTAGTTCAAATACAAAAAGCCATTTTAGGTCTATCTCCCGGAGCAACTTCAACTTGCCAATGTCTACTTTTTAAATCAATAGTAGAAAATGATTGAGCACCAAGAACTATATTCAATATGTCTTCTTGATGTGGAATTGGTGTTGAATCCTCAGCTGTAACATTGTTGAATTTACGATAGTCAACACAAAATCTAATTGGCCAGGAATCCCAGGGTTCCGACCGACCTAGAGCCTGACCAGACGGAATGATCCTGCAGACACCCAACTCCCTCAGGGTTGAGGGTGAGCTGGGACTACAGCCATTTAGTCAGTTTTACAGCCGTCTCAGGATTCGGTGAGAACCAACGATGACCGCTTTCTGCATATGAGCCGCGAGAATCTAAGCCTGGCTATAGCCAACTGGTATTGTTCGAAGCTCTTTTAGCGATGCTTCATCTCTCGGAAGACGTCAATCACCAGGACTATCACATACGCTGTATATTCGTGATAGACATTTCTCATGACCTCAATGAGCTCTCTGTAGCGTTCCTGTTTACTCTCTTCTTTTGCACGTATATTCGTCTCAGCTGGGGCTGAGAACTCAAT